TAATTGAGGTTTATCGGTTCTTAGAAACTTCTTTAAGCTACAAAGGGTATTTATTAAAGTACTTTCGAAATTACAATTGGTATTTGGCATGTTCAGAATTGAGAAGTTGACTATAAAATATGAGCACATATGGTGTTTTAGGGGAGTGCATATCCTATATTTTCTTTTAGGAGAAAGAGCTACACAAGACGATTTTTTTTATCTGAAACTTTGGGCTCACCCAAAATCATTGTTGATTATTTTAAAAAAGGTGCACGGATGTCCGTAGCTGTAGAGGTAAGATGCACCTTCAAATTTTATCATGGTATATAATTTTGATGTAAATTGTTCCTAAGAATATCTCAAAATTTATTTTTATATCTAATTATAAAAGTTTACATTTCAAAAATGGTTAAAATCAAGTAGATCCATAAACATATGAAAATCTTGAAAATGGATGGTGTAGATAATATGTTGTAAAATGCACTATTTCTGAGACTTAAAATCTTTTTATTTTTCATGGTCATACATCTCAATGTCCAGATGATCAATCAAAAGGTTTTTCAACATTAAAACTACATTTTTCGATGAGTTTTTGAGATGCGTCCGTAGTTCTACATTATAAGGTTGCATCCTTATATAAACTTTTTCCTTTTAAAAATGACATGAGTTTTTGTTTGAATACTTAGATTTGATTGTCTAGTTCAATTGTTAGATATTAACTTTTTCATGCACCGGACGAGTGAATGCGTGAAATGCTCCCAGCAGAGCATAAAATATGTGTGAGAGAGAGAGACGAAAAAGAAATCCTAAAAAGAGGGAAATAAGAGGAAGTTATTTTATTGCAAAAAAATGAGAAATAGTCATGGAAAAAATTTTAAATATATGTTATGCTTTATGATATTTAAAAAATCCTAGATAGAAATCTCGTTTATGTCATTATCTGAACTTTAAATGTTTCTTGGGCCTTTTAGGTTGCTTAGTAAAACAGTTCATCGAGTGTTGAACAAAAGATTAAATCAAGTGATTACGCCAACAATGAATTCAAACATGATAGAAAGAAAAGAGAATGTTCATTTCTTGAACTCCCACATTAATAAGAGCCCAAATCAAATTTATATGTCCTTTCTGCAACTAAACTCAAAACTGATTCAATATCATATCTTGAGTTTCCAACTACTAATCCAATTCAAAAGACATCAAGAATGAAACTTAATCTATTAATTCACATAATAAAAGAACAATTCAATACTTTGAAAGACACAAACTTTCATTCCCCTTTCACTATGAGCGTTAGGGTTCTTTTGGTGCACCTAAACAGAGTTCAAGTGACATAAAATGTAAAGGATAAAATAAATAAATAAATAAATAAAGATTATTAGCGGCTAGAATAACTATTTGCAACACAAGAGTATTGGTGCAAAAGACGAGATTCGAGGACAAGCGAGATCATGAACTCGAGGATGCCAAAAGAATTTTCGGTTAAATTCACATCTCTTGCTGCCGATATCATATATAGCAACCTCAATGCTTGCGTTCATGGCTCGAATAATAAACAAAGATTGTTGATGATATGGAAGTATAGATAATCTCTCCATCTTCAACTCACCCCTAAGAAATCTAGATCTTTTCTCGATGTGCAAATCGATCAATTTCTCCCACTTCCTCTCTCAGCCTCCATATCTTCAAATCCCCGTGCTCCTGAATCAATAACTAGGCGCTGCCGGCCTCCCAACTTGATCAATTTGTGAAAGCATGTATCACGTGAATTACTGGGAAGAGTAATTCGTACCCATTCTTTAGATATCATGTCAAAATCAAACATGTCGAACTCAATGAATTTTTCTAATACATAGCACACATAGTTGACACACAAAATTGAAACCTTCATATGTGAGTTGGAATGGATTAGCAACACTTTTTGAAAATCCAGTTGCATAACTGAATATGAAATACCTAGAGTGCCCGAAATCTAAGTTTTGCATCAATATCTTAAAATTCTGATTTACGGGATTGAAGAAAAATGTTTAATAATTTAATAAGAATCGAACTTTCGGACTGCTACATGCTTATTGGTTGCATGGTTGTAAACTACCATGGTTGCATGGTTTGGATAGGCCTTATAGCACATGACGTTATTACTACCGATTGGATGCTTCAACAAATGCTCTCCAACCAATGGTTTAACCAGTCCAAGTCTCTGGGGTTTGACATATGTGAGGCTCGAGATAGAAAGAAAGAACCAACCTGAATATATGGAGATCAATGTGACGTAGTTCGAGTGATGCGAAGACGCGAAGAGAAAATGGACTCGAGCAAAGTAGAGAGAGGACAAAAGTTCATTCAACAATCTCGACACACACTTTGCCATGCAAACGTATTCTATCGAGAGCACAACAAGAATCTGAATTGTGACTTGATTTGAGATGTTTGCACCTATTCTTTTGAGAAAGTCATTCCCTCTCTTAATTTTCTCTCTCGATTTTCTCACTACTAATTTAGGCATGTAGGCTTGATTTTTTTTATAGAAGCCTATCTTATCTCTTAGGGAATTGGCTTGATCTTTTTTAGTGGAAGTTTATCCTATCTCTTACATGAATTTAAACCACATAGAGAGTTTGTTTTTTAATATGGAAACTCTAAGAACTTAAGAATACGCTAATGGAAGGAATTTGTTTGTAAAGAGAAAAATGGAAGAACTTGAGAGAACAGAGAGAAACTCAAAAAGTTGGGCTGTGTTAAGAGAGAGACTAAGAACATGGCAATAAACTAATGGGGAACTTTGTTTCTAGAGAGAGAAACTCAAAAATTTAGAGAACGTGTTTCGAGAGAGAGAGACTTACAAACTTAGGTCTCGTTTAAATCTTAAAGTAAACAAAACCATGTTTTAGATTATAACGTGGTTATGCAAACTTTAGTTATGCCAAAACCTAGTTATTGAGAAATAACTCTTTATATTGCTTGTAGATAATACCCAGGTTATGCAAATCCCTCGTTTAGGTCATCTATATGTGTAACTTGGGTTTACACTATATAGGGCACATTTGGTAGGTAAGAAATATTGTTCATGCAAAATATTGTCATGTGAAAATTATGTTACATGTATTTGGTATCCAATAATACATATAAAAAAACTTCCCATTATAAAAAATTTTACAAAAATTTTAGAGAGAGAAACAATACGAAATTTTAGAGAGAGAAATTTGTCTAAAACTTTGAGATAGTTTCTCCCTCTAAACATTTGAAATATCAAATAGTTGAAAATTTCTCTCTCTAAAATTTTTATTGCGAAAGTTTCTATCTCAAAAACTTTTCAACAAGTTTCTTTTTCTAAAATTTCATATAGTTACTCTCACAAAACTTTGAGATACTTTCTCTCTCTAAAACTTAAAATTTGAGAAAGTTTCTATAAAAATTTGAAATAGCCTCTCTCTAAATTTTTTTTAGGTAATTTCTCTCTCTAAAACTTAATATAGTTTCACTCTCTAAAGTTTTAATATACTCTCTCTAAAACTAAAAATTTGATATAATTTCACTTTCTAAAAATTTTGAGATAGTTCTCTCTAAAAAGTTTCAAGTTCTCTCTCTAAACCTTAAAATTTGATAAAGTTTCCCTCTCTAAAAATTTTAAGATAGTTACTCTAAAACAAACTTAGGTAGTTTCTATCTCTAAAATTTGATATAGTTTCTCTCTCTAAAATTTGATATAGTTTCTCTCTCTAAAATTTTAAGATTTGTATTTTTCTAAAACTTGAAATTTGAGATAGTTTCTCTCTAAAAATTTCAGGCAATTTCTCTATTTAAAATTTGATATAATTCTCTATTAAATTTTGAGAAACTTTTTATATCTAAAACTTGAAATTTGATATACTTTCTCTCTCTAAAATTTTTGAGATAGTTTCTCTCTCTAAAAATTTCTCTCTTTTTAAAAATTTTTCTCTAAAGTTAGTTGCTGTTAAGATACTTCTCTCTCTAAAAATTTAAATTTGATATAATTCTGCTTTCTAAAACTCTTGAAATAGTTTCTCTCTAAAAAATTCAGGTAGTTTTTCTCTAGAATTTGATATATTTTCTCTCTAAAATTTTAAGATACTTTATTCAACTAAAATTTATAAATTCGATATAATTTCTCTCTAAAATTATTGAGAAGGATTCTCTCTCTAAATTTTTTATGCAATTTTTCTCTAAAATGTGATAGAGTCTCTTTCTCTAAAATTTTAAAATATTTTATCTGTGTAAAACTTGAAATTTGATATTGTCTCGCTCTCTAAAAAAATTAAGATAATTTTGCTCTAAAAAAATTTAGTAGTTTCTCACTCTAAAATTTGATATAGTTTTTCTTTCTAAAAATTTAAAATACTTTCTCTCTAAAACTTAAAATTTAAGATAATTTCTCTCACTACTTTGTGTGGATGTTATGGCATGATTATAAAGTAGGCAGCTCTAGTATGTGAAAATAGTATTGTCACAAGTTTTATTCCCTCTTTCGTTCTTACCCAACAATATTTTGGATAACTCAATTTTTTTTTATTCCCTCTTCCTTTCTTACGCAACAATATTTTCGTTAACTCAGCTTTTTTTTTTGGTTTTGTGTATCCATGCTTTGGCTCTTTTTCTTGGTTACAGAAAACAAGTATCCAAAAAGTTGCCAAATATGTGTTCATGAAAGATACCCTGGGTATACAAAACATGTTTTGGGGTACCCTACTATTCAATGGACCCCTAAAAAACATTGGGACTGTTAGTTTCCAATTATTTTTTTGATAGAACACCTACTTGCATCCATATTTAAGATGGATGCTTTATGCCTTGGTACAGCATATTGTAGAAATGCAATTCGGCCCACGTGAAACAATTTTCCCTTTTAAAATAGAACGCGACATGCAGATCGCTAGTATCTATAAAAGGAAACTTAAAATACACCCCACAGTAAATAGGAGCCCTTCAATGATTTTACGCACTAACTTCAACCCTTAAGTAAATTGCATCCGCAGGCATCGAGATTTTTCTCTGAAAAAAGGTTCATGAAATTAACAGGTTCATTGAATTATGCTAAGAATGATGCTAAATCATTCTAACAATGAGACCTGTTTTAAACCATAGACCACACGTTATTCCTCCATATTAGCATTGTTTCTATACACTTACATAATGAAACAAGCCATATTTTGTATAGTTAGTGCTGTCTAATATTCCTTGCAGCAGCCTGTTACAACCATCACCAGACACTCTTAACAATCATCATCCCAAAGTCTCTGAAATCTCACCACGAGGAGTGGCAGAGGTCAGAAAGAGCTTCTGCAATCAACCCATCAAGCAAAATATTCTCTACCTCTCTTCCGATGACATCAAATTCATCCCTCAAATCCATCCACCCCAACTCCTGAGCAAAATCCTTCTGCAACATTTCGTCTAAAGACTCCCCTCTCTCTGTGTCTTTGCAACGAAGTGAACCCCACAATCCCTCAACCAACCGCTCCCCCTCCGGCACTTTCGTTGCGAGCTTCCTCTCTCTAGTCCCAAGCCAAGGGCGTTCTTCTAAACGGGGCCCCATAATCTCCACCAACCAAGTATTCATCCTGTCAAATAGAAGCTTACGATCCAATTTTCCCCTCTTATTTTCCTTTCCATACTTCTTCTCTAGCTTCTCGAACAAGGAGGGGTCCACTGGGCAATCTGGGCAATGCCATGAAGCAAGCATCATCTCATGGCCGCCATAAAAACCACAGGTGACTAATAAGTCCCTCAAGTAAACAATTTCCTCGCATTCTTCTACATTGTCAGAATGGCCAACCCATTCTTCTGAACCATTGTCATTAAAATTTGATGCCACGCCCTCCGCATCATAGTCCGATTCCCCGACGCACCTGCCTTTGGATTCCAATTTTAGCAGATGGAGCTGCATACGGAGCCCTGCAATTTGAAATGAAGGCACTAGTCAACATTAGTGGTTAAGCTATATGGCAATGAGAGAGAGAGGGCGAGATGCATGTGTGGCTCACCATGAAGATCTGAACTGATTCTTTCAAAGCATTCTGGACTTGAAAAATCCTCTTCAAATGGTGGCTCTAAAACAGAAACTGGACTGGGCTGATCTGAGGTCTCTTTAAAGGTTTCAATAGAGTTATCAGCATCTGTTCCATGGAGTCCATCTGACTGAAAAAGGTCCGCAGGCAGTCCTTCTTGAGGCTGCTCCAGAATGATGACCTACAAAATTCATAGGAAGCCATGCCCATCATTAGACTCAAACCGGTTGCATGAAGCAAGGCTCGAGTCAATTGCTTCAATGCCCATAAACCTCGTATTAGGAAACAAGCAAATATAAGTACATACAAAACTACCAGACGAGTAAATTCACGCATTAGCACAGGCATGCATTTACACTTTGAATATTTGTGTGTGTGTGTGCGCGCGAGAGAGAGAGAGAGAGAGAGAGGAGAGAGGAGGAGAGAGGAGAGAGAGCATGCTTAAAACCAGCCAAATGAGAGCAAACATACACAAAAACCAGTCGGCATAGAGGATAAATGAGTTCAATTCCAGAAAACTAGGAGACTCTGGCAATTCCATTCTGGCCCAGAATTGCCAGCCTCCGAATCTGGTCCAACGCGGAAAGTCCCAAGTCAGGCATGAGATGAAATGCTGCTGCATTACATATATAAATGATTTCGAATCAGATCCATAAAATGTAGAAAAAGACGGACCTCACTGGTGCAATCACTCTGATCATGAGAAGAAGCCACCCCATCTTTCTCCAAAAAGGTTCCATCTAGAGATGGCCCAGTCACACATCCCTGATGGATATCCAGGTCTGTCTTTGGATCCGCACATTCACCACTTATAAGAAGCGCAGAATGTTGAGGGCTCATAACATTGGCATTAATAAAGGGTTGAGGAATTTGAGGCTCAATGAACACAAGACTTGCCTCTGGTTTGTCCTCGAGACCCTTTGAATGACTTGAGACAGTTTTCATATTTGAGTTATTATCACTCTCTGAAATTTCACATTTATAGTTTTGCTCTGCAGTTAAAGAAGGGCGAGAATTTTTTACGGAGGTAGACTTTCTCTTACTAGAGAAGAGGCTATCTTTCAAAACAGAACCTCTCCCTCTAAGAGACCTCCCAGATCCCAAGTTCTTCACCTCCTGTTGTACCTCATTCAACCCCTTCTTCCTAGCTCCACGCCTGCATCTTGCTGTAAGAGACCTTGACCGATGTAAATTTTCATCGCAACCTTCCTGAACATCAAACCTATGGTTGACAACTGAAGCATGGTCACATTCAGGGAAGACAACATCTCCAGTTGCCTTGTCGCACGAATCATCCTGATTGATCATATAATGCAAAGTAAGTGGCCTCAATTCCAAATCTGAGGTCTTGGTTTCAGGCACAGCAAGCATTTCAGCTAATGTACTTGAATTCTTTCTCAGCTTTTCCTCTTCTTGGTAACCACCGCGTGTTATTTTCCACCTCTCAGAAAGGCGTTTCTTTGCCTCTCTGCTCACAGTAGATTCAGTACTGGAGTTGGACGGATTGGGGCTTAACCTCTTCTTATTCCAATCCCACAAAGTCTCGGATGGCGGTGTATTAAGAACCTTAGGTTCAACAACTACAGACCCCTTCTCATTGGGTCTATAGTACGAGGCTTTATTCGATGCTGAAGAAGAAAGATTTAAAGTGTCTTTAGTCATGCTTTTCCTCATCTGTCTAGTGATTTCTTTTGCGATTTCTCTAGAACCCTTTGGCCTATCTCTAACGATTTCCCGACCCCTACCTCCATTCCTAATCACCCCTTCCCAACTGCATACTTCTGAGAACTCATCCTTATCACTGTAACCCTGAGAGGATGACATGTGCTTTCTGCAAATACTATTATATGGATCTAATGAGGAGCTTGGAGATGATAGGACTTCTCCTCTAGTGCTCTCCTCCATTACAAGGCTTGGCTTCAAAACAACTATCCTTGTAGGCACGAGACACGGGTCTATTTTCTCTTTCATACGTGATCGAGTTACTGACTTGTGTGAAGAAGGAAACCATTGTTCTTTATAGCCCACCTCACGTTTCTCCAAAATACTCCGACTGCTTTTGTGCTTCTTCCCTTCCACAATGATCTGCCTCTGATGTCTCCAGTATATCTCACTCACTCCTTCATGGTCGTTATTAGCAAATGCAGCCTTTGAAGACTTCAAGAGTGTTATGTGACTTGGCCAATGTGGTTCAGGAGCAGACTGCAAATCATGCAGATGCTTGGTGAACAATGAGTCAGGTTCTTGAAGAAATTTCAGGAAAAGATCTTTGTTGGAATCCAAAACTTCCAAAGCATCATGGAATTCCTTAGACTGCCGAAGCTTTTCATTGGTGGAAAGGCGCTTTGCATCCATGAACTTCTGGCGTATGAGTTCCATCTTCTTCTCACTATGCTTTGTGTGGATGCTCTGCTTGCTTACTTTCCCGGCATCTGAGGTTTCCCAAACTTCAAAAACGTCCTTGAATTCTTGCTGCTCAGTGGCATGGTTTCTGAAAGAGTGGGTCTCCTTTGACATGAATTCATCAGGGCATACACTCTCCTGACGGTGATGATATCCTTGATGACAAAAAGGTTTTTTTTGCGGCTTCATAAGTGGCATATCCAGTGCTTGCTTTTCAGAGTTCTTCTTATAGTGTTTTGAGATGGACTGTTGTGTTGGTAATGCATCAAGACCCATCAATCTGGCAATGACGCTTGGGGGCCTCCGCTTGGATTCTGTATCTTTTGACATCTCTTCAGCTAAGAGCATCTTCATCGGTATTCCACTGCCTCGTGCTGAAGAACTTCTCCTCAACTCATGTTCAAACTGGCAAAAGAATGATTCTAATCAGTGTTTGCTTAATGACAATGATGAAAATACTAGTTGGAAAAGAGAGAAGCATGCACTGCCAACTACAACTCAAAAATCACAACAATGCACTTTAGAAGAAAAACAAGAGAACTTAATAACCTCGTACTACAGACCCAAGTAAAATGTATACTTGCATAGCTACACTATAAAAGATATGTTAAAATGAGTTAACTGGCTGACCATTAAACCTTATGCCTCAGGTTAAAGCTGACATCATGCCAGTGGCAGCAACAGCAGGAAAGCCTAAACGGAGGGGTACAAGCATCCAGCTTATTTATCAGTTTTCATAGAATTTTTTTACATTTAAACAAGAGATAACATCGTATTATGGTATTGAAAACAAAGGGGAATGACAAAAAGAAGAAAGAATACTAACATACTTTCCTTTACCAACTTTTAAAAATTTTCACAACAAAATTGCACAATTGTCTAACATATAAGAAACTACAAAATCACTTACTGAGCTTTCCTCCAAATAACCATCACAACTCCAACCAGAATACATTCCCATTTTGGTAACACCCATTGTTTTTCTGGCAATTCCAATAACTGCAACCAATCATTTCAATGTTAAAATCAAAGTAAGGTAAAACATGACACCAAAGGAAATTCTTGGAAAAAAATATGGAGTCCTACATTAACGACTTGATACTTCATTTCAAGCCAGAATCAAATAACAGTTAATGAATCTTCCAGAGAGAAAATAAGAAGTTCCCAGAAATAAGCAAGCTTCAATGCACATGTTAACTGGCCTGAAATGAAACCAATATTCAACAACCAAAGTACTTTCAACTTTAATGCCATTAAATTGCAGGCTGAGAGAACATCAAAATAACCTAACGGCAACTGAGCCAATAATTGAAATACACATCTAATAGAAACACCACAACACTATGGTTAAATACTTAAATGATCCATTTATTTGTTAAGTTGTTATCATTTTATTTAATTTATTCAATTTATATATTTATGTATATGCATAAGTCAACGTACATCATTATCTAGTTTATACAAATGCAAAATACAACCATAGTGCTCTTCTCAAATGACTTATAACAAAATATATTGGGAAAAATTACTGCCTAAAACAGCCATAAAGTAAACTGTCATGATCCATGTCAAATTAGCAATGGATTGATCCACATATTTGGCCGATCAGCCCCATTTGGATAGTCTAACAACTCCAGTAAGGGAGTTTTATATATATGTAAAAAACAGGTTCATTAACAGAGTTACAGATTATTTGGCATTATTTTGTTAATAATCAAGGTTACAAAAGGGACTCGCCAGAGCAGAACAAGTGGTTCTGTTCTTCACTTCTCAATGGGTGAACTAAAGAATGGTGTTAAACTATTATATGGTCCATCAAAATGGTGCCATTGAAATCCTGTATTGAATGAATTGTTATGATTGGATGAGCACTATATCAGATATTATAATTACATCAGATAAAAAAACATCCCAGTAAAATATGATCAAATCAAATCAGAGAATATTTTAAAATTGAACCTTTTTAATGGTTCACCCTTCAATGGTTCAGATTGAACCTATCCCTATCCAAAAGCCACAAAGCTATTACTTTTTTAATTTTTTCATTTTTTTAACAAATCATATTGAGACAAAAATTGGGTCCCACATAAAACAACAAAGGTTATAACCAATACAAATATATAAAAGAAAAAAAAGAATTGACCAGACTACCCTGAATTGGGGTATAGTCTGGTCAATTTTTTCATTCAAAATACTTTTTATTATTTTAATTGGGTGTGCCCTATACAAATGAATCCGCCCCAATTTAGAGGTTAATGGAATTTTTGAATAAAAATCAAAAATAAAAAAATGAAATTAAAATTTTGGCCCTTGGATGTTTCCTAGTTCAATCTGAACCGTCAGAAGGGTGCTTGATGCTTGTGCACCCTTCCACCATCCACATCATGCGGACAGGATACATTCCCATATTTCAAATCAATTCACAATAACCATGTCAGCAAGTTCCACGAATCTACTCTAAACCAGAGAAATCATAACAAATCCAGAATTTCCAAGACTATAATCCAAATAAAAGATCAAGATAGAGACTGCTCTTTCATTTCTGCTTACATTAATGGGTACAAGATCTGGTTTTCAATGATATTTGTCGAAGGTTTTGAATCCCCAACATCTATAATGTGTCAAAAGCCAAAACTGTTGAAGAGGTGGACTGGAGAGCGTTTAAATGAATAAAAACCTTCCTAGTACAGGAAATACACCAAACCTCATCAACGTAACACTTAAGACCCTTCTCAGTATATAGCTACATAAACGGTCATTGCATTGATATTTGTGAATCACCCAAAAATTAAAATTATGCAACAATAAGCTCTTTCATTTAGTGATTCTGCTTCGTTTTTTATAGTCCCATTTATCAATTCAATTAGAAACCAAATTCAGATCAGTTCAAGCAACGAAAATGAAGCCCTATAAAATTCTAATCCAAAGGTAAGCTGGAACGGGCACTAGATGGTGCACCATGGTTATGAAAATTTTCTGGAGCCACATTTATAAGCAAAAGGCTCAAGAAACATGAGGAAATGCACACACGTATGGAAGTTACCATCCTCCCACCTCTTCTAATCCTTTACCACCGGTGTGCATGTGCAGAGGACAGAATTGGTTTTTCCTGGACTCTCACTCTCAGTCAGTCCCCGTCACCAATAAAGCCACACATGCAAATTTGTAATAAATCAATTTCATCCACTCAACGAATGGCCCAAAATAGATGACAATTCCATTCAACTAAAAACATTTCCTTTTTAAATCCTCACCTAACAACATTTATTTTTCAGGGCAGAAACAGAAAAGAGAAAGCAAAAGGAAACAAAAGAGGGAATAACTATTATAAATAATGACAATATGATACACCCAGAAAGCCCAGTTTTCTTGGCCCAATTTCAATCGCAACCTCATTTTCTAAATACGCCATTTTATTTCACCATCTAAAAACTCCCGGCCGTAGATGTGAAAAACCCAAATAATCATGAAGAGGAACTACTCAACAAGGAATTACTACCGACCAAAGCAAACAAGTCACGACATCAAGTGAAACTGGTCCGTTAGAATACTACCCCTCTATCAGGTGATATAATCAAAGTAACATGGAGAGAAGAACAGGGGTAGTTTATTTGCCTAACAACATCCTAGTTTAAAGAGTCTTGAGTAGCAACCACGAAAGCAGCAACCACGGTTGACATGGAGGATGACGAAATCCAATAGAGATAAAAAGAAGAGAAGAAAGTAGAGAGAGAGTCCTATCAAGGCTCTAGGAAGCCTAGATGATCAGAGTTTAATACAGAAAAGAAGAACAAAAAAGTGCAGACGCGAAGCAAACTGGTCACGAGTTGTCACCACAATCGTAAAACCATGCATTTTGATTCAAAAACACAAATCATTGTTGTACTGAGCATGGAAATAGCCTCCACATCTCTTTCATCAACTCAGAACCCATGGCATAGCTTAAAAACACTCACTCTCTGCCCATTACTCAACATCTTCCTCCTTCCATGCCTAAACCCATTCTCCCCCATCACCTGAAATACCCATCTTACTACCTGACACCCAACTGAAGGCAATTACTAAAAATTGACAAGCTCTTATCAAGTCCCCAAATTCAAAGGTAGCTGAAAATGCATTTCAATGGAAGCAGCTCTGTCTCAATGTCTGTTATCATTTTGAAACCAAAGATTGTGCAGAAAGATGTGGAAAACTTTCCAAACAGATTGTTTCAGAAAGATATGGACTACTTTCTAAACAGAGCTTCAAAATTTTTACGGAAACCCTGGCATCCAAAAACACCCAAAACGCTAACGGACTCTAACATCTTAAATGTGTTTAATGCCTAAGGAAAGGGGCTGGGGTCGTGGTGGTAGCATCCCCGCACCCAGTTACGACGTCGTGGTATCCATTCCTACCGCTGACACCCCCAATTTAACACCTTCAAATTGTCTATTGAAAAAACGGGTAAGGGCCTGTCTTCCCCACTGAATTACCCAAAAAAAAAAAAAGTGTTTAATGCCTAACTTAATTAATAGCAGGAATATCATAGCCAGATATTCAGAGTATTCAAAAAGGTTGATTAACCTTATTAGGTCAACACTGTCCTTGTTTTGGGCTCAATTAACAGAATGAACAACACATAAAACTTCCAAAAAAAAAAAACCACAACACACTGAAAGTAAGAGCATTCTCTACACAGGCAATCATCTCTTAAAAAAATGAGTGCATAAACCACAAAATTACAGTAAATTGAAGCAGACCATTCAAATTGGTAACGAGCACCAGAGAGAAATTCAATTATCTCACACAAATATCCGAATCCAGAAATAAAGAATAAAAGACCAAGAACCTGATAACAACAAAAAGGACTAAAACCCTAAAAGCAATCAGGTCACTCACCATCTTCATGGGCATTCTCGGAAACAAAAGAGCCACCGCCATGCAAACCTTTCTTCTGAACAAAACCCATCTCTCACTTCTAAAATCTAAACTACACTGATAACAAAGAGCAATAAAAAGGCAACTCCATGACAAGTTTATTGCCGTTGCAGACAAAAAAGGAAAAACAACTCAAAAAAACCCTAAAAAATTGGCACGCGACAGAGAAGATCGGAGCTTGAAACCCTAGATTTCGGGATGCTCTGCATAACCGAAGCACGAGGAAAGCGAATCTAAACCAACGCTATATTTAGCATAAAAAGATTTGAAATTATTCCTAAAAATCCGAAAGAAAATTGGGGTAAAAAGATGAACACGAGATTGGAAATGCAGCGGTAAAAAACCCAGAAGGGGGAAAATCTGCGATTTTTTTTTTTTATTTTTCGTGTTGGTTTTTTTAGGAGAGAGAAGAAGAGAGCACTCCAAAATAAATGAGAGAGAAATAAATGAGAGAGAGAGGGGGCTACTCTTTGCTTTGTACAGTTTTGAACTTTCAAATACCGATATACCCTGACATCGCGGGCATTTGATTATGACTGACGTAGTATTTCCTTCCTACATGGATCCCACGTCACCACATGGGGATCACTGGGTTTTGAAATATTTACTATAATAACCTTCCTTCCGGGGTTTGCTGCGGAGTCGTTGAGCGTTTTGCTTTGTGCTCAAAAGAGTAAGTTCCGGGCTATCTCAGTTTAGGGATAATGTCCAATAGTGCATTGGTAATGGGCGGGCAGTGGATCTATTGTTATGAGTTCAGTCGATTTGGGATTTTATTGATGCAAATAGATAGATGGATTGGGGGGAACTTGTAGGGCGAAAGGTATTTGACTTCATTGATGGTAACCCCCAATAATGAATATCGCCCCCATCTATTACATTTTTATTGAATATCACATGGGCAGATTAGGAACGATATAACCTTCCTTTGTAGGTGACTTATTGATTTGGATTCATTCTCTGAATGGAATATTTTCAATCAAATCAGCATAGAATTTCATTCGATATAAAAGCTTACTTCAGCCTTTATTTCGTGCTCTCTGGTCTTCAAAATGTCACTCACGGGCTAAGTGGTTCGCATGGCTAGCTAGCTATGCATAATCAGTTACCGAATTCATTCATATTTCAGCAACAAGGTATTCACATGGCTACTATTTTCCCGTTTTATATAATCAACAAGAATAATCTATGCCACTCTTGTTCTATTACTCTTTTCTGCTGGCTGTTTGGCGGTCTCTAGCTTGGCGGTGTGATAAGAGATTTGTGCCTAGATTTATAGCCATGGATATTCTGCGTCGTTCGCTAGCCTTCAAGTTCAAATCACAGGGGTTACTCGATATTTAGAGAGTCATCTTCTTCACAATAATTCGGTATATGTGGAAGGAGCGTAACAGACGACTCAGCAGGTTGCAATTCATATTACCGCTCATGTCGAGGCTCTAGCAGAAATTAACAAATGGGCATTCCATTTGTCAGAGAAGGTGTTTATTAAGAATTTACAAATTAACTGGCACCAGCAGAAGCCAAAATGCTCGATTCCAGTTGCGTGGACATTTTCTAAGGCTCAGTGTTACAAGTTGAATATTGATGGTGTATCAGTACACCATCAATACTTTAGAGTTGCATCTAATAACTATGCAGAATTCTAGGCTATAGAGGAAAGTATTTGTCTAATAACTATTGCAGAATTCCAGGCTCTAGAGGAAAGTATTTTCTTAATTATTCAGCTGGGTTGCTTCTCAGTATTTTCTTAATTATTCAGCTGGGCTGCTTCCCAATATAGATAGAAAGTCCACAGGCAATTAAAAAAGAAGTACAAAACTTTAGACTTTTAAGTTCTGAAGTAAAGGTAGTTCGGGAGAAACAAAAGAAAAAATAAAAAATAGGTACGAAGATAATGTTCAAATTTTTCCGGATTTTGTTTTATGATGACTGTAATTTAAAGAAAAAAATTATATAAAGCCGAGGCTTTAAACAATAAAATTAAAATCTGCCTCAAAAATTTCACTAAAAGAGGTTCTTTTGATGCTCAAATATTCTCAAATTGATCCTCTTAACATCAAGATGCATAATCATGAGAAAAAAATGGATTTCAAGTTTTGAAAATAGTGCATCTTGTAATACATTTTTGGATTGTCAATTTTGAATATTTTCAAGTTTTCAAAGATTTGTTCAATCTACAATATTTTTAAAGCTTTAAATTTTATAATTAAAGGTAAAAATATATTTTAAAGCTAAATATAAAGGGATATGCTAGTAATTCTGGGATTATCCTAGATATAAAGGGTCAAATTCTTGGCCATTTGCCTAAGACAGCCGTCCCCGTCCTACGTGGAAACCACGTCATAAACGGGGAACCACCGATTGATCGAACATTTACCAAAATAGCCCTCAGCCTATTTAAGGCTACCTCTTTATTGTAAAGACTCAAAGTGGTCGTGTCTTTTGTTTGAATTAAAAGGGTACAGGAGACATAAACGGTCCAATTTTTTTAGAATTTATTGTGTCCAGTAAGTCACAAAACGACGCTCCCGTCTTTGTGCGGTCCGCCGCCGTGATCATATTAATGATTTTGGATGCTTTTGTCATTCATAAAAATGTGCAGGTTTCTTGTCACCATACTGATAAAATTTGAAAAAAAGTGTATAAAAAGACACTACAAAATACCTGTAGACGAAAATAAACACTAGTTTATTATCATCATCGTTTAAAGTTCATCATCATCATCGTTTAAAGTTCATCACATGGTCACGATTTTACGATAGTATTTTATTTTTTATTTTTTTTTACAAATTGGAATGATCTTAAATTTTGAGCGTGTGTTCATAAAAAATAAGCGAATTTACGAAAAATATAAAAATATATTTTAAATGAAAAATTGATCAAAATACCACTGAAATGTTTCGAATGTATTTTGGTCAAATTTTTTTTAACGAATTATTTTTTTATATATTTTTATTAGATGCGTCTCACTAAGATGTACACACACTTCAAATTTTAGATCATTTCTAGTTGTAAAAAAAAAATGAAAAAATAAAATACTATCGGACACTCGTGACCGTGCGATAAACTTTAGACGATGATGAGAGTTAATGAAATCACTGTTTATTTTCGCCTATAGGCATTGGGAAGACTTTTCCAAATCAAGGATTATGGCCTCATGATAGAGATTTACTTCCTGTCGAAACCCTTCCTTCAAAAGCCTCGGTAAAAAGAGGGTTATATTAGGTTGACAGTCAACATAAAACTTTATTATTTTTTTTAATTTTTTTATTTTTTTCAGGTACTTTCGGCTACAATATATGAGTTTATTATTAGAAAGACCTCAAACTATTCAACTTACTTCAAAAATTATGGATATCAAAATGAAATGAATAAGGGAAATTTATTAAATTACAACTCATATATGATGAACAATTTAATACTTTATCTTATATTTTTTATTTAAATTTAAAATACTTATAGAAACACATAGACTTGAGATGGAATAGTTGCAAATATTTGCAAATAGGTAAAATGTTAAAATAACTTATTAAATACTTCATCTCTTATGGGTAATTTGATAGAATTAAAGTTGTTTGCGTTTATTTTTTTTTACCAAAGTGTATGTTTCAAGCTCCACAAACAGTATATATTATTCTATTTTGAACAATTACTTTCAAGTGTTAATAAATTGCCATTATTTTTTATAGCTTCAAATTCTGTGATCGAAGGCAAGACGAGGTTTTCAAGCCATCGATTGGATTTCAGTTAAGAATTTTGAGATGCGTCTTAAGCTAATAGCAACTTATGACACAAGAGAGCTTTCCTGTATTCCAACCAGATTTCGGAACTTTTCGGACCTAAAATTCGGGCCTGGGACGAAATTTCGTTAATTAGAAATCACAAGTTTTCAACCTGGTAAGGCACCTGCATCATGGTTGGTCCAAATTGATTATTATTTAGCAGTGTTATTATCATTACTAAGTGTTAGCATTAAATTGGAGTTTGTCACAAGCAAACGCCAATAATCTATGACCCGTTACCAACATTAATCATGAGATAAGAAAAATGAATAAAGCCGCTCCCTCACGAGAAAAAGCACAACAACACATGAGATGACAAAAATGCCCTTTCATCTCTCTCTCGGAAAAAGCTTATATAAGGATGCTACGTTATAATGTAGAACTACGGATGCCCCTCAAAGTCCATCAGAAAAGGTCGTTTTAATGTTGACAAATCTTCTGATTGATCATCTCGACATCAAAATATTTTGTCATGAAAAATA